ATGAAAGTTATAACAAGAATTCGTGTAAAATAAAATTATTCTTAAAATTATATTATTTGAGTTTACCACCATCCACTACCTCCGCCACCTCCACCAGATTGCCATGGATTTCCTCCTCCGCTTGATTGCCATGGGTTTCCACCACCGCCTGACTGCCATGGATTTCCACCTCCGCTTCCTCCGCTAACTTTGATTATTTTCACAATTTGGCCACCACCACCGGAGCCTATAGTAGCAAATAAAAATATTTGTAGATATAGATATTTTCAACTGTAGAAAAATGTCTGCATTTTCTAATGAAGTAATTAAAGGAAGCCTGATTGCTGACATTAAATACCTATAGGTACTTTAACGGTTGAATAATAATTCTCAAAATATGCATGCAATTTACGTTTTGATGCAAAACTTTAATTAAAAACGAAATAGGTAAACACTTCTTTCAATCATTTGATTGTTCTGCTACATCTTAACTCAACTATCTGCAAAATACTTGTAAAAGTCTCATTTTTCATTTTCAAAAGTGCAGCATTGAAATACTTCATCACCAAATCATCACTTAACTACTTATAAAAAGGTTATTACAGGAGTACAAATATTCATGCACAGATATACATTCATTATTTTTTTTACTTGTACATTAGCCTTAAAAATTTCCTTTTTACAGCTAATTTCTTTAAAAGTTCATACAATAATTTAAAGAGTAATTATTAAGTACTTGGTTTTCTTTTTAACTTTAAATACATTTTTGGTACCATATGAATTCATTACTTTGAACCACGTGACATTAATTTAATTAATTATTTATTTGTTACTTTAATTCTACGACTCTTTTGGCCATTAATTGTTGTTTCCATTTATACAATTATTAATTATGTCATTGTTAATTCTTCTACAATTATGTATCTGATAAAACCAACACCTTCCATCTACATATATTTTTTTTTTCTCACATCTGAAAACTAGCCTTGATAAAGACCAACAATTTGGAGCGAAACGTTGGCGGTAGTTTTACAAAATATCTGTTATCTCAGTTTGACTTTGATTACTGATATTCTAATAACAAGGGGAAGAATGGAATATATTTCCTAAACACAGGATCGTACTTAAAAACTCAGGGATATAATATCTAACATCAAATTAACAGTAACAGTCGATAAAAGGTTATATTTTTTCTTTAGAATGATGGCGATAACTTTTTACTGTATATTGATGATGTAGTTTAGGAACCAGAGATGTTATAAATATAAAATTTCGGATCTGAATAGAGATACTGATGTATGAATGATATTACACCGGTTTCAGATATAGTTACGGATACAAAATATTTTTTTCAGTTAGTTACTCGATTTTTGAGGAATTTTAAAGCACAAATAATAGGTAATGCTTTGACGTTGTTTCTATGTTATCATTTAGTAATCACAGAAAAAGCAATTAGTCTTATAATTTAGAATCCGTCCCTACTCGAAATTATTGAAATGTTTTATGTCAGATTCAGTTATTATTTCGGATAGATTTTTATTTTGGATATTCGATGGTTTCGGTTAGGGTTACGTTTCTCCATAACTGGTAGGAACACCGTATATACAGTTACTAACCCTACAGTGTGTGTTTACTATTTATGTTGTAAAATTACACTGTTTATTGAATATTCCATAAAATTATATTATTTTCGAAATTTTGAAATAATAAAGTTTTTCTTGCGATAGACTACGATATACGTAACAATTTTTAATTGAATGAATCAATGATATTAAGATTTCGGTACATTGATTGATTGATGCATATTCATTTGAATATTACATATACATTTGAAGTATCTATTTGTACATAAACAATGACCTATGTATAACAAATCAGGGTAAAGAAAATGCCCACTGCAGTTTATCTCTTTTATAATCCTTTCGAACGTTTCATAGGTCGATGTGTAATAAAGTTAATTAAAGATAGCCTAATAAAAATTAGTACATACATGGCAGTGTTACCTATGATAACCAATAAATTACAAAAACCAAGGAATTGGTTACAAGGATATGCATTGTATATATCACAGCATGATGAGTTACGAAGCATGTTATGTAAATTTGGTCAATTCCGAATGCAGAAATTATTACTGCTTTTTTATTGCAATCAATTTCAATTTCATATCTTTAAGCAAACTATAATAGAAGTATTAGATTGTAGTCGTTTATTATACATATAAGCCCAGAATCACATCATTGAAATCAAGTCTGAAATAGGGACAGGATGAAGTTTTGCGTCTTGTGAAAGTTTTATGTAGTATGTTTTCTCTGCTATACGGAATAGGCAACTGAATAGAGATTTTAGTATAGAAAAATTGCGTTAAAAGGGGTTTTATGGTTAAATACAGTAATTTGATCTCTAAAGCTGATAAACCTACAAAGGGATGCATTTGTGACTAATCTTAAAAAAGGCACAACTTTCAGTTTTCTATAAAAAACTCAAAAACGAAGGAATTTTCGAGTACTCTTACTTATTTTTATCGTTTTTGCTATTTTGTTTATTAAATCGTCTGTACCTATTTTCTGGACAATTTTGATACACATAAATGTTTAGAGAAAAGTTGGTCATTGAAAAAACACACCTTTTCTTCATTTATTCATTTTTGTACGATGCAAATTCACCCAGATAACTACGCTCAAATTTGCCTACTTTTTATCATATTTTACCCTAAGTAGAAGAAGGAGACTGTGGTAAATAATAATTAATTAAAAATTGAAAAGAAGACTCGCCCCTATTTACCATTACCATTACCATTTTTTTTTTGAATCTGAGTCTCGCGTTGATAATGCCCACGCATGAAGTGGGTGAAACAATTATTATTTTTTGTTTTTCCTTTTCCTAAAAAAGAAAAACAAAAGTTATTGGAAATATAATAATTATGAAAATAAAGTGTGCAAAATCTCAAATTATCAGATATCACATGACGGTGATAACTAAAACTAATACATTTTATAGTTTATTTTTAAAATTTTACGTAGGTGCCTATCTGATTTGAATAACATATAAATATCTCTCGGTAACCGAAATCGATGTCAAAGGTGTACGTGTACCACTTTTCGGTTATCCTTTCTCAAGATATCTCGTCTTCCGGATTTCCTTGCATGAACATATCTCGTCCGATATTCGTCTAGACCGGATATATTGGTTGAGTCNAAGTGGCTGATTTTAGATACCTAGGAAGTCAGATAAGTCAGGATGGAAGGAGTAGTAGGGATATAAAGCAGAGGATAGCGCAGGGTCGTGTCGCCTTTAATAAAAAGAAGTCACTTCTATGCTCGCGAACGGTTAATTTAGAAATTCGAAAAAGGCATTAAAGGTGTATGTTTGGAGCGCGGCGTTGTACCGGTGCGAAACATGGACAGTGGGCGCGGCAGAAAAGAAAAGGTTAGAAGCCTTCGAAATGTGGTGTTACCGACGAATGATGAGGATACCGTGGCGAAGGTTAGAAATGAAGAAGTATTAGAAAGAATAAGAGAACAGAGGACTCTATGGAAGTCAATAAAAAATAGGCGAGATAGATTGGTAGGACACCTTCTGATGCATGAAGGTCTAGTCAGAGACATATTAGAGGCAGAAACAGGAGTTAGGAAGGGTAGAGCTAGATCTAGGTTAGATTACTGTTCACAAATAATTAAGGATGTGGGTTGTTCTAGTTTTAGGGAAATGCGAAGATTAGCACAGCATAGGAAAGAGTGGAGGAACGTGTCCAACCAGTCTTAGGACTGACGACCTTATGATGATAATGAGTAAAAATAGGCTTTTAAATTTCATATAAGCATTAATAAAAACACACTATATTCAAGGACCTTTTTATAAGACTTATGAATCCTACATAATTATTATTTTAATTGATAAAAGGTAAGCAAGTGCTTGCTTACAAGGATATGACTGAAATAGGTAATTGTCACGTTTAAAACAGAATTAACTTTTTAACCTTTTATTACTGGAATTAAGTAAGTAGGTATCCTTCTTACGTATTAAGCAAGAGTAGATACTAATTACTACTTTTAAGGATGCTGAATTTCCTTTTTCTTTATTAATTGCATTCAAGGCCTTTTTAATCAGATGGTAATGCTAAGAAAGTGGTTACTTTTTTGTTTGTTTTAAGAAAATGTAAGTACATAATTGTCGAATGCAGTCGTTTCCATATTGAGTGAAATGGGTTGTTTCAAACAGGTTTTGCATTAAAAAAATGAGTCACAGCTTATATAATTGAATTATTTATGGATAAAAGTCACGAGTTCGTTGAATTACGTGAAACGAATGAGACGAGCATGTAGTTTGGCTATTTTACAAAAAATTACAACTTCTTTTGCTTACTTTTCTAAGTAAATGAAGCAATACCTTTTTGATATGCTTTAAGATAAATTCCGTATATTTCTTCACTACGCGTGATTTGTATTCCAATGACAAAATTTGCAACAGGCGACCTACATTGCACACTGTTTTTAAGAATTATAATTGATTGAATTATAATATGCAGCTATAAATAATAACGTTTGAGGTTTGAAAGTAGGTATAATTAAAATTAATATTGTTATTTCAAATAATAACATTTTAAAGGCATTTGAAAAGTTATTACAATTTTAATAAATTTAAAGAAACAAATAATAAAAATGATTCTCGACGTTCCTAGTAATGACGTTAAAGGGTTGGGTTAGAAATTTAAATTCCGACAGGATTGAAAAAATCGCTTTTTTTACACTTCAAACTACTGACAGAGGAATGGGACTAGAACAACGAGATTATTAATAATATTGATATATATTATTAATATCAATAAAATCACACTGTAAGAAAAGTTTACGTTTGGTGATTGAAACAGAATTTTACAAGAAACGATTGCAATCCTGGTTTTCGGCAAATAAAAAACAAGGAAGAAAATAAAACTTACCCCCGCTTCCATATCCAGCAGACCATCCGCTTCCAAGACTACCACCAGACTTCCATGGGCCACTGCTGAGACCACCTCCGGATTGCCATGGTCCACTGCTCAGGCCTCCGCCGAGGCTGAGACCTCCACCAGATTTCCAGGGTCCACTGCTAAGTCCTCCACCGGATTGCCATGGTCCTCCGCTGCTGAGGCCACCTCCCGATTTCCATGGTCCACTGCTCAGTCCTCCACCGGATTGCCATGGTCCTCCGCTGCTGAGGCCACCTCCCGATTTCCATGGTCCACTGCTCAAACCTCCTCCGAGACTAAGACCTCCACCAGATTTCCATGGTCCACTGCTAAGTCCTCCACCGGATTGCCACGGGCCTCCGCTGCTGAGGCCACCTCCTGATTGCCATGGTCCACTGCTCAAACCTCCACCAAGTCCACCACCGGACTGCCATGGTCCTCCACTTAGTCCACCTCCAGATTGCCATGGTCCTCCACCGCCGCCGCCTCCGCTGGGCACAATTACTTTGATAACTTTTATTCCTCCTCCTCCGCCTCCACCGCCTCCTGACCAGCCACCGCCACCACCACCTGACCAGCCGCCTCCTCCATAGCCGCCTCCGACACCCCCTAGAAATTATTACTGCTTTTTTATTGCAATCAATTTCAATTTCATATCTTTAAGCAAACTATAATAGAAGTATTAGATTGTAGTCGTTTATTATACATATAAGCCCAGAATCACATCATTGAAATCAAGTCTGAAATAGGGACAGGATGAAGTTTTGCGTCTTGTGAAAGTTTTATGTAGTATGTTTTCTCTGCTATACGGAATAGGCAACTGAATAGAGATTTTAGTATAGAAAAATTGCGTTAAAAGGGGTTTTATGGTTAAATACAGTAATTTGATCTCTAAAGCTGATAAACCTACAAAGGGATGCATTTGTGACTAATCTTAAAAAAGGCACAACTTTCAGTTTTCTATAAAAAACTCAAAAACGAAGGAATTTTCGAGTACTCTTACTTATTTTTATCGTTTTTGCTATTTTGTTTATTAAATCGTCTGTACCTATTTTCTGGACAATTTTGATACACATAAATGTTTAGAGAAAAGTTGGTCATTGAAAAAACACACCTTTTCTTCATTTATTCATTTTTGTACGATGCAAATTCACCCAGATAACTACGCTCAAATTTGCCTACTTTTTATCATATTTTACCCTAAGTAGAAGAAGGAGACTGTGGTAAATAATAATTAATTAAAAATTGAAAAGAAGACTCGCCCCTATTTACCATTACCATTACCATTTTTTTTTTGAATCTGAGTCTCGCGTTGATAATGCCCACGCATGAAGTGGGTGAAACAATTATTATTTNCTTAACCTAGAAGCGAATTGTTGGTTTAATTTGCGAATAAATCCAAGAATATTGACCACAAAAAAGTTCAAAGTTTTCATTTAATTTTACACAGCATATGTTATTATGCATAATTTAATAAAACGGAAAATTATTAAATTGTTTATTTTTTGTATAAAGGACAAATAATAGCAAAAATATTGTTTATAGCGCACATTAGCGATATATATTTGGTCAGGCAATGCAGTAAAATTGTTTAAAAATAGTACTTATGTATGACGAAATTTTGAAATACATACATAATTATTCCTAAACTGATATTTTTTAATAAATATAAAATTGCATTTATAAAAACGTTCCAAAAATTAATTCTTTCGTTTTTTGAAAACCACAAAATTTTACAGTTGATACTTTGTCATTTAAATTAATTAGGGATTAGTTAGAGCAGAATTAGTTTATGTTGTACCATGTAATATCATACTTTTCCAGCTCATGTATTAATTAAGCCTATTTTAGATTTTTTTATGGTAAATATTCATTTTATGAAACAAAGCCTGTTATTTAATGTCAAAAATTTATATCACAAATTTCAACCATTATAATTATTTTGTTGGTCGATATACCTAGGTGACTTCATAATGATACCAATGTGTAATTCCTATGACGTATATTTTAATTGCCTAAGATGCTGTAACAATGATGATTTGCTTGCGAAACATGTAACGTGAAGCTGAGTTCAAGTTGTTGAAATTTAGTAGGTAATTGTTATAGATATAAATCAGGTGGATATACGCATGTAAAAGTGTTATATTATGTACATATATATTAATAGTTATTTTACTTGTTTTTATCGCTTACCTTCGTTGCATCTACAATTTTTTATCTCTGCTTTAATCTGTATTGTTACACCTATGTAAAATTTTTCCTATACGCAGTTTTGTANATTAAATTAAATAAAAAACAGTATAATAATAAAAGGAAACAATTAAAAAACAAAAATTAATTACCTAAGCATTCTAAAGCAACTAATATTGTATGCTGTATGTTAAAGAGTATGAAAATATATGTTTTGATAGTTTTACAAAATTCCAAATTTAAGGGATAGATATTCAAAATACAGGTACATATGTCATCCCCAAACACTATATCTATATATATATAAGTCATTTTAGTTACACTATTAATAACTGAAGAACGGCTGAACCGATTTGGCTGAAAATTGGTAGGGAGGTAGCTTAGAACCAGGAGACGGACATCGGATATTTTTTATCCCGTTCCCATAGAAAAAAAAAAACCTGGTATAAGAAAACGCAACTGACAGTAAAACGTAATGTTTTTGCAGTTAAGTTAAGTATGGTGTTTTATTTATAGTCAGATTTACCTGAATCTTGGCTTTAATGCTTGTTCATATAAAATTAGTGACCAACATACCTATTTCAACATTATACAAAATTCTAACTCTTTAGGAAGCTGAAAAAGGTTTACAAAGATTGCATGTTTGTTTTTGGTCCGATTTACTTGAAACTGGTTAAAAATTTCAATCTCTTTTGGGGGGGGGGGATGAATGGTGATGAGGAGGAGCAATGTTTAAATGGAACATATAGGTATTATTTGTGGTCAGATTTACTTGAAGTTTTAATTGTCTCTCATTTAATTTCTGAAAGACCAATCACGACATTTTAAAAAATTCAACCTCCAAAGGGGGGTGGGGTAAAAAGGTGTTTTTCAATTTTTGTTTGGTACATACTTTCTTTATAGTTGAATTTACTTGAAACTTAGTATATATGCTGTTTGATATTATTATTCGAATAAAAAGTGGTTGCAACGTTTCCATGGGGTATATTTTATTTTTACTCGGATTTACTCGAAGATTGCTCATTGTTAAAATTAAGCAAATACGTGTTTTGGCAATTTTTAAAAATCAACCCTTAAGGATGAAATGTTCTTGCGACGTTTGTATTTGAAATCTAAGATGGCGACATTACATAAAATTAAAACGTTGTAAGGGTGAATTGGGAGTTAAAAGGTTTTATGGAGAAACAATACCTATTAATTTCTGCGAGCGAAGCCGCCGGGAAAAGCTAATTTTTTTATAAATCAGTGAATCAGAGGTCATTTGTCAAAAATTACAGATTAAAAAAAATTACAGATGAAGCCTCAAAATTTGCGGCCAACAACACAATATCAATATCATTTGCATATGAGATTGACCATAAATTCCAAATTGCTCCTATAAATATTAAAAAACCTCTACGCTTAATTTACACCCCTGATCAGTCCCATTCTTTTTTAATTCTGTTTTATTTAGTCGTACCCCTTGCCGCTTCCTTATAAATTTCTATTACCCTGTCTGTTAGTTCATTTTTTATTTTACCTTATCAGTTTAGAGATCCAGACTATTTTTTTAAGTATAATTATTGGTTTTAATAATTGAATTTAGTATTAACAATTATACATAGCTTCACGTAAACGAAGTCGCTAATCAAAACTACTTATTATACATTTTCATTTATGGTACATATCAAAAGGTGATAAAAATGCGTATGAAACAGACGTATGACCACTTTCCGTTTTTATGTAGGTATTTACTCTGTATTTCAGCATCAGAAACTTGTTTTGATATGCTGCTCGGGCTCAATAGTTACCTAGGTATAATAGGCACTTTAAAATTTTTATTTTATAGTTATTCGACACATTCATCGGTAGTCTGGACATTTTTTTTGTTTCACGCTTCTCGAAATGTTTTGTTATAACCTAATCCGGCATTATGCAATTTACCTATATAATTTAATTATATAAAGAGGCTACAAAGACATGACGAAATATCGTTTATGAAACGCATTTTGTAGACTATGCAAGTACGTAAAATTCTAATCTCGTTGGCTGCGAAACAGCCATTTAATTTACATATATTGCAGAAAATTGCTTGTGTTTTATTCTTCCAGTGAATCATGCTTCTTTGTAAAGAAAGTTCTCATGAATAAAATTTATTACATATTGTATTAATAGGAAAGACTTTAGGACATTTTTACTATCTCTCCTACGATAAGTGTTAACCAATTGTCAATTTCATTAAATGAATACTCAAAATAGCAATATTGGAAATTTTGGGCCAGTTCTATGATAATCAATGCTAAATCTAACCAAAAACAGAAAACAGTTGATAATAATTTAGAAAATAATGTTCTTTATAAAAGAAATATTACATCAATAGGTTAGACACAAACACTTAGAAGTCATCACTACGTAGAAACCGGCAATAGTAGAGATGGATGAGTGAAAATACTTATTTTGGAAATGCAGAATTAATAGTAGTATAACTGGGGAGGCATATCTAATACAAAATATATACAGAAATTGAAAATTATGTTTTCAAATATCAATTTAACAAAAGAGAATTAATCGTTTACATTTGATTAGATGCTTAGCACACATGGACTTAATAATATTATATATATAACAGAAATTATAAGTGCTGCCAGCACAGGGAAGTAGTATACGTGGTTAGTATCAGCAATTTCATATGCTGTAGTGTATTTACAAACAATTCCTTTAAATTTTAATCATTGATTACTATTACATCTATTAAAAAACCATAATGGCCGACATCAGTGACAATGCGACAATAATTGAAAAAGAATGATGGCCGACAACAGCAACAATTAAAAAAGAATTATGGCCGACATCAGTGACAATGCGACAACAATTGAAAAAAATAATGGCCGACTGTAGCAACAATTAGAAAAGAATGATGGCCGACCTACGTCATAGTATTGTTCACAGAAGTGAATTTCGATCACTCCAAGCAATGTGCTAACAGTTTCGAGCTCGCAGTGACTGATAGGGGGAAAGAACTAGTTTTAATTTAACGATAATTTTAAAATCATAAAATTTTTAAAATAAAGGTCAGAAATTAAACTTAACCGAAACTACAACCAAATACAATAATTTATAGATATTTTAACAGAATAATCAAATTAAGACGAACAATTGTCCATTGTTACATGTGTATAATTGATTTTGATTTGATTTTCAATTAGGTACTATGTTATATTTTATCCCTTACCTGCTATTAATTTGTAATTTCAAAACTAATATTTGTCCCCTGCAGGCGAGTAAGGGTACTCATCCCTATTAGTAATTTAATCAATATTCTGTAAAAGTTTTATTCATATTTCTTCTACCAAAATATACAAAAATTCTTCGAAGCTGTTCAGTTGTTTCTTTATTATTGTCTATGTCCTCGACTTTGCCCGCTTGGAACTTGGCTTTCG